CCCTAGACCCAGGAACTCTGGGTTCCTGGCAGGGAAGGATTGCTGGATAGTCGCTTATGGCCTACGATGCTCAAAGGGATTCCCTAGGTCGTCATTTTCTGGACTCTGGAAGACAGTGGTGTCACTCATTACTAAGTTCGTTCCTCTTGCTGGGAGAACTCAGGGTCGCATCAGCACTACTCATTTCATTCGGTAGTGATTTATGAAACAGATTTAGCAAAACAACTGAGAATAAAAGCCAGAAACTGGTAAAAGCCAAATGAAAAAAATCATAACAAAGTTTTCCCCCAGACGTTGATAAAAACCTAGTGTGCTCAGAAGCCCAGGTGAGAAGTGGCCCAACTTGGCCAGGCGAGGCTGTTCTGCCTGACCTGCACTTTGAAGATGGACATGTTTGGCATTTATTTCAAAGCCATGGGGAAAAACTATGGAGATTTGAAAAATACCATTACCATCTATGGGACCAACTTGTCACTAGGATGGGAAATAAGCATTTTGAAAAGAAAATTCACATTAGTTAAAAAAAATCCAGCTGTTTCAGAAGAACAAAATACGATCAAAATAATGGTTTCCAAGGAATCCAGAGTCTGAATCCTTGGCACAGAGCCCTGGTCTCTCCTGAGTGATGACAACACTGAGAGCAGAAGCTGAGTGAGATTAAGATTAGAGAGTTAATAGTGACCCTTTAAAAATTACACTACTCTATAAACATCAGGTGAGATAAAAACATTTCATATGCCAATTAAATCATAACTTTTACCTAAAAAAATAGAATGGGAGGGAACCTTGACATTCTGAGAAATTCAAGTGTAGCTGTAATGCTGTGTAGTAAGGCTGGTTTGTCCTGGGACCTTGAGCCACATGGCTCAGGTGGATCATCAGTGCAGATGCAGCAGATGCTGCTGAGGATGGCTCAGTGGTGGGGAGGCGCTCCCTCCCAAGGAGGCCTGTGCATCTGTCCTGGCGGCTCTGAGCTGGGTCCTCTGGGCCAGTCCCACTTCCACCCTCTCCCCACAGGCAGGGCTGGCTACCCCAGGCCGCCCCCAGATCTGGCCAAGCCACCGCCTGGCGCTATTTGCCTTCCATTACCCTCCGCCAACACCTCCTCCTCTTTCTCTTCCCCTTTGACTTCACTGGTTCTGGAAAGGGTTTCTCAGTCTTGACACTTCTAACCAACTCTGCCCCCAAGTCATGCTCACAGCAGTACGACTGCCCATCCTGGGTAGAGTTGAAGGCTGTCCCATCTTGGTGTTCCTTACAAAATGAATTGGGGCAAAGGTGGCAAAATGAAGTTGAAGGTTTGCCACACACGTCACAATGATGCCAGGGACATTCCCACTTTCCTGCAATAAAACAAAATATTAGCAGACAGAAGTGACAATGTGATAACTTTTATAGTTTTTGTGGTTGAAAAAAAATTTTTTTTAAGGTTTTTGTCAGAGGGGAGAGAGAGAGGGAAAATGAGGAATCCCCCCACCCCCGGGAAAATGGTTTTTAAAACTACCTAATTAAATGAATGCAAACAAAATGCTGCTTTTTATTCAAATGCCAAAACAAAAAATGCTAGTATTTGGTGCTCAACTTGGGTATGTACCAGGGAGTGGACAGGCTCTGCCCAGGGAGATGCAGGTCTTCACTAGTCATACTAACTAGCTCTAAGTAGATGGGCATGAGGGTGGCTTGCTGCTCCCTTTCCCATTCTCCTGCCCAGAAATGAAGCTGAACCCTGAGATGTGCCCCAGCAATTGCTCTGCTGCTGCTCTGTGACCTGCCCGTCCCAAGGATTGATTTTCTACTCAGGTATTGATCTTCCTGGCACTAACTTGTAAAGACTTTGTTGGGTTCTATCTTATCCATTGCAAATATTTTTATCATGTCTACTATTAGCCTTGGATTGTCATGTTTTATCATACGAAAGCATTCTTTTTGTTTTCTTTTTACAAACAAGTCTGACTTCTCCTTTTAAAAGCTTTTCAGTTTCTTGAGTCTTTCTTCTGAGGTTACAGTTGCTATTCCCACAATGGTGCTGGTAATCTCTGAAACACATGGTGGTAAAAAGTAGAACCCGCTTTTCTACCCAACAGCCAGATCTGCAGCTGTCACCAGCCAGTGGCTCCTCCTGACACATTGTCATCTCAGGAACATGTCCCCAACAGTGTTAGGCAGGAGTGCTAGGCCCCTCCTTCCAGGTGTGGTGCAGCCAGAACTGAATGATGGTTTACACTGAGGCTACTGCAGAGGAACCCATTCTGGGAAGAGCTTTGCACCCAGGGCTGCCGCCACCTTCCCTTGCCATCATCCTGCCTATCTCATTCTGCCTTCAGCACTAAAGGGCACCAGCTCGCCATCTGGGCTTCAGTGGCTGCTTCGGCGTCCAGCAGGCTCCACAATCACCACAGATGACCTCTGCTCAGTGTACAGACCTAGAACATGGCTGGTGGATCAAAGAAAGCTTTTGTCACCCTGGATTAGGGACTTTCACTACTTGAATGACCAACAAATTTGCAATGAGATGAGGTCCAGTTAGCAGAGAAGAGGCCCAATGAGAGCAGCAGTCTAAAAGCCTGTCAGGCAGATGGTGCCCTAGAAACTGCCATGGGTCCCAGTCACCTACCGAAAGGCCTCTTGCCCAGGCCCAGGCAGGACAGGTGGTAGGCCTTGGTGCAGAACTTGCGGTCACACAGCACCAGCTGGCCGCCATCCCCACAGCGGAAGCACTCATCCTCTGACTGCCGCTTCCCTTCTCCCTTTGCTCGACGCCTCCTCATTTTCTTCTTGGTCTTTTTGCCCTTTTCCTCTGAGGAAAGAGCTGCTGAGGTCTAGAAGCAAGAATTAAGCACAGTTCATGTAAAGGAATTACAGAGACAGTCAGTAGTAAAAGGCAAACTGTAAGGAGAGGTCACAGGCCAGCAGACACACGGCTAAGGCAGCTAGATGCTACATGGCTGACTATGTGGTTTGAGTTGAACCAGCCACTTGAAAAACATAGCAGGCACGTGTGAATGCATGCCCAAAATCCTGAGGAAAAAGGTCTAGCATGGTCATCCCCCCTGAGGGTGCTTTCTTACTTGCCTTCTTTCTCTCTTTGTCTCTCTCTCTCTCTCCAGTAAGTACACACACCCTATAGCAAAATTTTTTAAAAAGTCAAAAGAACAAGGTTATGGTACAGAAATTTTAGGAAAAATAATTTTTTTTTGGAGGTTTTTGCTATAGGGTGTGTGCACTCTCCAGAGAGAGAGAGAGAGAGAGAGAAATCACCCCCTGGGGGGATGGCCACACCACAATCCCTTCTCTTGGGATCTTGGGCACGCACGCACACGCACCCGGTGTAAGTTTAAGCCACAGGGTCTGGGACTTGAACTGAGGTCCAGTGACATAGCCATTAAGCCAACTGCTGGTCCCATGATATTCTAATAGTAAGCATTCTCTACATGCACAGGGAAAGTGGACATCCCCCAAAGGATAGCTGTTCTTAGACCAATTTGACTGAACATAAGCCAAAAACAAGTTGAAACCACAAGCTTTGTCACAAGCCTCCCACACTAATGAATCTCAGTGGCTGGCAGACATGTGAGTCCCAGGCACCATAGACAAAAGATGCCACCTCTGTATAGGTTCTTCTTAGAAGAAACTGCATTATGATCATGTGACCATGTGAAAGGAGCAAAGTCATTCCCTGGGTTGAAACAATAGAAACTTGGAAAGCATCCTCAACAAGGCTGAGGACAGACAATGGCTTAGGACAGAGCTCCCTCCCTTTCAAACCTGGGTTCTAAACAGCACAGACAAGGAAATGATGGTATGAAGTGCAGGACTGTTCCCCCAATTCATGTCCTTCCTGGAACCTTGCAATGTGACCTTATTTGGAAATACAGTTAGGTGTAATTAGTTGAAGTCATCCTGGAGCAGGGTAGTCCCTAATCCATCATAATTAGTGTCTGAATAAAAAGGAGACATTTGGACATAGACACATACACATAGATACCATGTAGAGATAAAGGGAGAGATTGATTTTCTGCACCTATAAGTCCATGAATGCCAAAAACTGCTGGGACCCACAAGTTGAAGCTAGGGGAGAATCCTGGACCAGCATCTGCAAAAGAGCCTTCAGAGGGAGTACGGTAAAGCCAACACCTTGATTTCCAATTTCCAGCTTTCAGGACTGTAAGACCCCTTAATTCAGAAGGTGCATGCCCCCCCCTTTTTTTGGGGGAAAGGTTTTTGCTATAGGGCATGTGCACTTGCCAGACAGACAGAGACAGACAGAAAGCAAGAAATCACCCCCCACGGGGGATGGCCACGCTACAATCCCTTCTCCTCCATTCTCCTCTCGGGATCTTGGGCATGCACGCACACGTGCCCAGCGTGAGTTTAAGCCGCCAGATCCGGGACTCGAACCGCAGTCGACTACATGGGAGTTCAGTGACATAGCCATTACACCAACTGCTGGTCTCAGAAGATGCATACCGTTGACAGAGACAGGGAGAGAAGAGAAAGCACATCCCCAATAGGGTGTGGTCATGCTGCAGTTCCTATACTCCATTTTGTTAGGATTTGGGGCACTTATGAACACAACACCTAGCATGTTTTTCAAGCTGTCAAGAGTCGGGATTTGAACCTCAGTTGACCATGAAAGATCCAGCTCCCCTAACTAGGCCACAGGGCCAGCCCTAAATTTTTTTTTTGTTTAAGCCACCCAATCTATGGTATTTTATTATGGCAGTCACCAGAAATGCATCAAATGAGAACTCTTAATAGCTAACCCATGTTAAGAAAAAGTCCATGCTGGGGCCACAGGTGGCATAGTGGTTAAGGCATTGTACTCCCACATGGCTGACCACAGTTCGAGTCCCGGACCCAGTGGCTTAACAATCATGCCACGTGACACTAGATTCCCAGATGGTCGGTCAACTCTGATTTGAGTCCTGGACCTGGTGGCTTGCTTTCTGTCTGTCTTTCTCTTTGTCTATTTATCCATCTCTCTGCTGAATGTATGTGCCCTATAGCAAATTTTTAAAAATTATAATAAAATAATTATTTAAAAAAATTTAATTATAAAAACTGAGAAACCAGTAAAAAAAAAAATCATGCCAGGTGCATGTCCATGTGTACTCAAGATCACGAGAGAATGAAGGAGAAGGGAATGTGGTGTGGCCATACCCCCTGAGTGAGATTTCTCGCTTCCTCTCCTCCTTCTATCTCTGTCTCTCCAGTAAATGCATGCAGCTATAGCAAAAATCTTCCTTAAAAAAAAAGTCCATGCCTATGGCTTGCTGCCTGCTGTCCTGGCACCCTACAACCTCCATCCTCCCTGTCACAGCAAGTCAACATAGAAGCCACTTTTCACTAGAAGATACAGATGTCTGAAATTCAGAGCTTCATAAATAGGAAATTTCCATGATTTTATTTTTTTTACCTTTGGTCTGTCCCCAAGGAATCCACTACAATTGGAAGCTCCACACCGACAGACCGTTTTTTCATTGCCCAAGCAATCCAGGTTGTAATTAAAAGTCAGCTCTGTCCCTGAGAGGAAAAGAGACAAACACCACAGTTACCTTTTCTTCATAATGCTAGGGAGTTTGTATTATGTCACAAAATACATTTTTTTTCTTTCATAGTTGCATAATCTGACTTTTCAGTTGTCCTTTCAAAAGATATTTAAAACAAAACTTCCAAATTACCACCCATCTTCCCCAGGGCATATTCAGTCTGGTCACACACACAGTCCAACAACAGCCACTCTATGCCTACCCACATAGTCAGGAGTCCCTAGGCAGAATGTGCCAAAGTTTCATACCTGCAGGAATGTCACACAGAGCAAACAGGCCCACCCGAGTGTCACCATTCACTGTCCACTTGAGGGTCTCACAGTTGGGCTGGCAACTGTGATTCATAAATCGAGAATAGTTTCCTTTGGGGCCAGCATCAATTATACGGTCCTATAAGGTAAAGGTCAAATCATACATGTAGTGAACTCAGCAATTACGTACTTTTTAAAAAATTTATTTAATTCTTTCATGAGAGAGGAAAATGGGGAGAGAGGAGCCTACCCCCAGCTCCAGCTAGCCAGAATCACAGACACATACCAGCACACTGGCATGCACAGGGAGACTAAGAATGGAACCTTCCCACATGGCCTGAGTATTATGATGCTGTATGCCATTATGTAATTTGTGTGGCTGACCAATGTGTTACTTTTAAAAGAAATTTTTTACTATCCTAAGACATTGAACAAGAAGTATCGCTTGTTGTACTGAAAACTGTGGTATCCCATGTCCACTCAGACAGGATACCCCCAGACCAGTCCTGTTTCTCTTGCTCACAGAAGGTAGGTCAGGACCACATGGAACAGACTGAGCCCCAGTGAGCACAAGTGAGAATTGGACAGTGAGCCAGTATTCCCATCACCATTCAAAATGACAAATAAGGGGGACCAGCAGTTAGCGTAATGGCTATGTACCATGTAGTCGACTGCGGTTCGAGTCCCAGACCTGGTGGCTTAAACTCATGCCGGGCGCATGTGCGTGAGTGCCCAAGATCCCGAGAGGAGAATAGAGGAGAAGGGATTTCTACATGGCCATTCCCCTGGGGGGGTGATTTCTCGCTTTCTGTCTCTTTCTGGCGAGCGCACGTGCCCTATAGCAAAAAACAAAAAAACAAAACAAAACAAAAAAACCTCTCCAAAAAAAAAAAGACAAATGAGGGAGCTAATAAGTATTAGTGTTGCAAATGATTGAAGGTTCAATCAGCCTACTGAGAACTTGGATTGACAAGAACAAGACTAACCCAGTCAAAAAATGGGTAATACAAATAATCCCAAGAGAGTAGACTTAGACAAATGTAAGGGAAGATGTTGAAGAATGCAAATTAAAATGACAACATGCTCTGATTTTGTATCCATGATGGTGGTATTTACTGAGATGGGATGGGTAGCCATAAACTGGCTACAATGGTTCTGAGAAAGCAGTCTGGCAAAAACCATAAATATCTCAAATACAAGCACACTTTGTTCCTGAGAATTCACCCACGGAAATCCAAGTGCCAAAATGTGAAAGGATATTTACATCTATCATTGCAAAAAAACAGAAAATACCACTGTCCAGCAACAAGAGTACAGCTTTGACCAGTCTCCCTACATGTCTCCAGATCAACCACAGAACTAGGTGGGGTCCCGGCTCTAAGAGGGTAGAAACCAAGGTAAGACATGTAGTAGGAGGAGGAAAGATGGGTACTTAAAAGGCCACCTACCAGGGACCAGCTGTTAGTGTAATGGCTATGTCGCTGGACTCCCACGTAGTCGACCGCGGTTCGCATCCCGGACCCGGGGGGTTAAAACCCACGCCGGGCCAATGTGCG